ATAAAATACATGTTCTTCACTGACCTTCCAATCCTCTAACATACCAAAATGCTTCATACCTCTTTAATTCATCATTATGAAATTACATTTATTGATCACTATGGTATAGTGGTTAAAAGCACAAATCCTAAAGGCAAGATGCCTGCCCTGACTCCCGGTTCTGCCAGTGGCTGGCTATGTAGCTGATCTTGGGTAAATTACTTAATCCCTTAGTGCCTCAATTTCCTCATCTCTAAAATGGGAATAATGGTGCCCACTTCATAGGGTTATTTTGAGGTTTAAGTAAGTTAATATGCTAGTGCTTTGTAAGTGTTGGCTTTTATTATCACCCAAAATGTGTTAAGTTACTTTAAAAAGACATATAACCAATTCTTGGTTATCCCGAAAAATGAGAGTAAAGGTAAAAATAAAGAATATACTCATTTACAGCCTTAAAAATCCTCACTATTCCAACCTCAAGCCACTAGCAATTTAGTTGGATATTTACTTTCTCTAGCTTTGTCTTCTTTCCATGGAAATGGAGGCCACACTAACATATGCACAAGTAAAGAGAAAAGAGAGGTTCAAAACATGTTTATTGTGCTCACCTGGCCTTTAATAGGTATTAACAAGTAAATTAAATGAAGTAAATGAAACTGCTATTTAAAATAGAGACTACTCAATTATAAGGCAGAAGGGACCAGGTATTATCCATGCAATAAACCTTTGGAGTTTACTGCATAATAATATGAACTAACTTTAAATTTTAAGTAACTTCTCAAGAAATTCATTCCTTAAGATTCCTAGAAGGCAGAAAAATGTAATTTCTGTAAATGCTATTAGACAAAAAAAAAGATTTTAAAAATTTGGAAATAATACAATCTCATATTCATCTCTCTCAAATCAGTATACAGCTGAAACTATACTGAACTTTTATATATTTTTTCTAAGTCATTAAGAAGAAAATCACAGAGCATGGAGTAAATAAAGTAAAAATAATAAAAAATTATCACTTACACCATCATAAAACCCCTTTAGATATAATTTCTCCTTTGCTTCTGCAAGTTTTTCTCGGTCATTCTGGCTCTGAACTTTCAACTCATCACAAATAGTTACAGCAGAAAGATTTCCAAAACCTGGGATTTCGATGACTGGCACCTGCAGAGAACAGCAATGTCAGAACCTCATTCACACGCTGAATCGATCACAAACAGCCGTATGTGACACGATCCTTTTGCCCCTACTGTTCAGTCGAGTCCTTTCAGCCGTTACAGATGCTTAAGGCGGGGCCACACATTAGGCAGTCACAGAGTGACAAACACCCAGATGTGAATCTGTCTTCACTCTTCACAGGAATCACCCAAATTCTATGCCCTAACGCCCCCGCATCGGCCCTCCCTCACTACCAGTTCTCATCCCTCCACTGGCAAATGATTAACTAAATAATTATGGTTGAAACTAGCAAAATGATGTAAACAACTGAATTTATGGATGGTCTTGTTTTTAATTTATAATAATCTCAGATTTTCATGCAGGTTATTTGCTAGTAATTAAAATTTTGTTTCTTCTGTAGACACTAATATGAAAACATAAATATTCTTAAGTAATATGGCAAAATTTTGTCTTTAAAAGGCTGGAAATTGGCCATACCAGCAAAATAACCTACTATAAAATTGGCATTGCTAAAAATCTCGTTTTAGCAATGCCGGGTATTGCTGCAGGTACCAGGTACTAAGAAAATGCTTATTTTTAGTTTTTCTCACTCTAATCTGCCATTGCAGGCATCAAGTTAAAGTAAGTAAACTCTTAAGCAAATTCCCTCTTATTTTTGTACCCCACTATTTAATTTTGTTACAAGAAAAATGTTAGCTGTTTTTTCTCTGATAAAAAGATGGATATTAATATTATGAATCATCTATGTACTTACTGGCTCATATGGCAAGACCATGTCATCTCTAATTCCATACTTTGCTCGTAAGGCCTAAAAAAAATTTGCAAGTTAACACTAATGATCAACACTTTACTGGTATAATCAGAGAAACAACTTCGAAGTTTTTAAAAAACTATTATTTATTCTCCTCTCCATATGGAGCAACTTTTTAATTTTACCAAGTATCTCAAGAAGGATCTATGACTTTTAAAAACTCAACAGTTTAAGTTAGAATGAATGGCTTAGATGATCAGACTATAGGCCAAAAGCAAAAACTCAGACACACACTCCCTAAAAGAGATTCATATTCTAGGTTGCAATGAAAATGTGAGTATCAGGAAAGTTTGTCAAAAGTCGTATGAAAATCCATCACAGCAACAGATTAAAAAAAAAATCATATGATCACATCAACAGACACAAAAAGCATTTGACAAAATCCACCACCCACTTATGATAAAAGCTCCCAGGAAGTTAGGAATAGAAGCAGACTTTCCCAACTTGATAAAGACTATCTGCATGACCTACAGCTAATATAGTATTTAATGATGAGAAACTCAAAGCTTTTCCACTAAGATCAGGTACAGGGCAGGGATGTCCCCTCTCACCACTCCTTTTCAGCATCGTACTGTATATCCTTGCTAATGCACTAAGACAAGGTAAGAAAATAAAAGGTATACAATTTGGGAAAGAAGACATAAAACTGTCGTTTTTCCCAGATGGCATGATCTATGTAGAAAATCTGGAAGAATCAATATAAAAAAAACCTCCTAGAACTAACAGGCAATTATAGCAACGCTGCAGGATACAAAGTTGACATACAACAGTCAATTATGTTGGTATCTACCAACAATGAGCAGGTGGAATTTGAAATTAAAAACACAATACCATGTACATTAGCACCAAAAAGCTTAATACTTACGTATAAAACAATATATGCATAAGATCTGTATGAGGGAAAAAAAACTACAAACTTGTATTGAAGAGAATCAAAGAAACACTAAATAAATGGAAATATATACTGTGTTCATGGACTGCAAGACTCAATATTGTTAAGATGTCACTTATTTCAAACTTAACCTAGAGATTCAGTGCAATCTCAATCAAAATCCCAACAAGTTATTTTATGGATGCTGACAAGCAGGCTCCAAAGTTTTTATGGAAAGGCAAAAGACCCAGAATAGCCAAGCCAATATTAAGGAACAACAAATCTGAAGGACTGACACTATCTGACTTCAAGGCTCAGTCTAAAGTCACAGTGAACAATACAGGGTGGCGCTGGCAACAGGACAAACAGATCAGCCAAGCAGGAGAGGGACCAGACACAGACCCCAGAAATACACAGTCAGCTATTCTTTGACCAAGAAGCAAAGGCAAAACACTTGGAGCAAAGATAGTTTCTTCAACAAATGTTTCTGAAACAAGTGGACATCCACATGTAAAAAAAAAAATCAATCTAGATGTAGACCTTATACCAGCCAAAAATAACTCAAAATGGATCATGGATTTTGACATAAAACATAAAACTGTAAAACTCCTAGAAGATAATGTAGGAGACACCTAAAGACCACTGGCATGGTGATGTCTTTAGATGCAACACCAAAGATACAATACATGAAAGAAAAAAATTGATAAACTAGACTTCATTAAATTTAAAAAATATGCTCTGCAACAGGTAGCACCAAGTGAATTAAAAGACAAGCCAGACTGGTGAAAAAAATTTGCAAAAGACATCTGATAAAAGCACTGTTATCCAATATATACAAAGAACTCTTAAAGCTCAGTAAGAAAAGAGCCTATTTTAAAAAGAAGTCGAAAACCTTAATAGACACACTTCACTGGAGAAGATACACAGATGTAAAACAAGCATATAAAAGATGCTCCACATCACACATCATCAAGGATATGAAAATCAAAACAACAGCAAGGTATCACTAACACAACCTACTACCATGGCCCGAATACAGCGCACTGACACCACCAGATGCCAACAAGGAGGTGGGGCAACAGGAGCTCTCAGCCAGTGCTGGTGGAATGCACACGGAATAGTCATTTTGGAAGACAGTTTGGCAATTTCTTACAAAACTAGATAGTCTTACCAAGCAATTACACTCCTTGGCATTTACCCAAAGGAGCTGAAAACTGATGTCCATGCAAAAACCTGTACATGGATGTTTATAGCAGCTGTATTCATAATTGCCAACACTTGTTAGCAACCAGGATGTCCCTCAGTAGGTAAATGGATAAATCAACTGTGGTACATCCAGACAACAGAATACTATTCAGCACTAAAAAGAAGTGAGCTATCAAGCTATGACAAGACAGAAAGAAACCTTGATGCATATTACTAAGTGAAATAAGTCAATCTGAATGGCTACAAACTGTATGATTTCAATTATCTGACATTCTGGAAAAAGTAAAACTACAGAGACAATAAAAAGATCAGTGGTTACAAAGGGTAAGGAGGAGAGATAAGCAGCAAGACCACAGAGAATTTTCAGGAAGTGAAAATACTCTGACAATATATTGATGGATGGATGTCGTCATACATTTGCTCAAACCCACAAAACATACAACACCAATAATGAGCTCTAAGGTAATCAATGAACTTTAGGTGATTATGATGTATCAATGTATATTCAGCCTTGGTAAAAAATGTCCCTCCCTGGTGAGTGATATTGATAATGGGGGAGGCTATGCATGTGTGGAAGCAGGGGGTGTAAGGGAAATCTCTCTCTACCTTCGTCTCAATTGTATGTAAACCTGAAACTGTTCTAAAAAAAGAAAGTATTTTTTTAAAACTCCATGAAATATATTTAAAATTCAAACCACAATAAAATATATAAAACATCAAGAAACAGGTTAGAGAGAGCAGCTCAAAGAAGCTGCTTTTTAGCTAATCCCACAGTGAGTTCAGTGGTGTCTAATCAGTGAGATGATGAAGAAGAAATAAGAGAATCAGGCTCAGACACTCACCTGCTTTTTCTTCAGGTCTCTGAGAGCGGCAAGGTCATCAGGGGAGTCAGAAGGAACGCTCGTGACCACACCAGTGCCTTAGAGAAGAAAGTGTGGCATTACCTCAGAGAACCAGAATAGGACTGCCCGAGTATTTCTAGAAAGAGATTCTTTACCTTTATCCTCCTTAATGGTGAGCATTGGGAGAACATAGATCGTCTGGTAAGATGTTAAAGGTGCAGAAAGTGATGCACCAAGAATTTCCTATGTAAGAAAAAGATTAACATAAATGGTGAAGAAACTTAAACCATTAGAATTTAAAACAACATTAATATTTTAAGCCCTGAGAAGCTAGTAATCAAAAATACATGAGGCAAAACAAAAGTCATTCTTTAATACCTTCTCAACTAAATTGTAAATAATGATCTGGTGAGGGTCTGAAGAAATTAGAAACACTAACACATTGCTTGTGACACTGTACTCCTTGAGGAAAATAATGTAGGAATCCAAAGTAAGAGCCGCAAAAATATTCACACAATTTGGACCCAGCAATCCAATCCTAGGAATTTACCTCAAAGGGAAAAAAATTACTTTTTCTTTGAGATGTCTGCCCAATGTTGTATTAACTCTGCTAGCAAAACCTGAAAACAACTAAAACTTTAAATGATAGTTTATTAAAAATTATTTTAAAAGTATGAGATATCAATGAGATAGAATACTATATATATATCTGAAATGATAATTAGGAAGACAAACTAAATTTAAAAGATCATCTAGTTTTGCTTTAAAGAAAAATCATAAGATGCAACAGCCTGCAGCTGCTTGTTTAGCTAAAAAAAATTGGTTTTTCAAGTCCACACAGTTCTCACCCATCCCACTTTAATTCATAATTTAAGCTTTTATGCAATTTACAATCACATGGATTATGGCTAAATATTGCAGCAGTCTTAAGGGTTGAAAGCTATTTTTTAATTTATACCACCCATTTTTCTCACTCCATGATCTGCTCAAATTAACAAAGGAGTAAGCTGAATTAAGAACAGGAAAAAATCACTACTATTCCTAAAAATTTCTCAGACAGAACTCCAACATCAGAAACTAATAAGGTGTGACTGCACTGCTCATGACAGAAAAGACAGAAGCCATTCAACCATCCATCACAGAGAAGGGTTGAATTAGTTGTGGCTCAAAGGAATGCTGTGGAGCTGTAGAGAATAAGGAAGCTGATTATGTATTGATAAAATACAAGATGTAGTTAGGTAAAAAAAGAAAGTAAGATGTATTTTTCAACCAGATACTTACTGAGGTGAAATCTAAGACTTGAAAATGCTTTATTAGTGATATAGTCACAGAATGAATGTCCACAGCAATAAAAACAAAAACTACTCCTATACACATTAGGAATGTGTACAAAAAAGAAGCCAGACACAAGGGAGTACAGACTGTATTAATTCCATAACCTAAAGATCAACAACAGAACTGCTCTTCAGGGACTGAAGTCCAAGCAGGTTACCTTGTAGGAGAAGGATACTGATGACGAAAATGGCCCTTTGGGGGTGCTGGAACTGCTCTGTATCTTGATTTAGGTGGTGCTTACGTGAGTATATATTCAGATGAAAATGCACCAAAATACACACTTATAAGTTACACATTTGACTGCATGTATAATTCAATTAAAAAGTTTCTTTAAATGGTCCTTTCTCAACCTTCATTGTTGAGATTTTCCTCTGAATTTATAAACTGAAATAACAAGTCTGCTACACGACTTACCTCCCCCATTAGTTCCTTAACAACAGGCACCACTCCATTGTCTCTGGTAAAGCCCTGGTATGACATGTTCCTGGCTGCTCTTTGGGAACAGATGAATATATCACCATTCACTGTCTCAAAGCCAATGTACTTCATATCAGGCCGAACCCAACAGTTTGTCTGTCCAAACATGGTCTCAGGTCTGAGAGTCGCAGCTACCAAGAAGATATTTTTCCCCTTCAAGCCACTAAGGAGAAAAAAATATGTATTTATGAGAAGAAAAAGGTGGATATTATTACATCTGATATTTGAAAAAGATGAGGCAATAACTCTTTGGCAAACCCACCTTAATTTGGATGGGTATGGCTCAAGAACTTTCAACTTGACTAAAGTATATTCCTGAGGTCCAACACCCTAAACAAATAAACAAGAAGAAAATTTAAGGGGGAAAAAAAAGTTGGATTAAACCTACTGATCTGTGTGAGAGATTTGCTTCAAATTTTTAAGCTGGATTCTTGTACTGTTAGAGTAAGTCCTTCTTCCAATGAAGAGACTGTCAGTGGTATGCTGACCATATCCATAAGGAGGAAGCTAGCAGACCGCCCTCCCACCCATACCAACCAGAACTGGTAAAGAAGGCCAGACAGTTTGCTGACAGTTCCCTCCATGAGAGGGAAGGACAGGAAGGAAAAAAAAAGTAACTTGGAGTAATCAGCCACAATAGTGGTTGCCTAATTGGGAGTTAGAAGATACACCACCAACCACACAGAACAGTCATCACAGACATACAATAGATCAGGGGTCAAACGGTACACATTTACACCTGAAGTTGGGCCCTTACTAATGCTGTGACCCAAGGGAGGCACAATCCCTCTGAGCCTTCATTCCCTCAGCTGTAAAATAACTGTGCTATGCCTCACACTGGATTGTCCTGAAAACACATTAACATAACGGAAGAAAAATGCTTTAAAAAACTATGATGTACTATTGAAATTTAGAATATTGCTACCACTGACTATATTAAAACTTAATACAGTCACTAAACTGGCATCTGTTAATCTTTGAAATTTTTGAGCAACGCTTACTTCTTTCTATCATGTAAGTTAAATCCTAGTTGAAGGCTGATTTTGAAAAGTAGTTGCTAGATCACAAATATGTTCAAAGGTGGTAACAAAGAATGATGCATTCACTGGGACTCCTAAGTTCAGATCTTGGTATTGCCGACTTTCTGTGCCAAAGCTTTAGGCCAATCACTCAGCCTTATTTCACTCAAGTATTACAAGGAATAATGTACTGTGTCCTACAGGAATGTCAAATGAACTGACATCACACATGGCTGGAAGTACTTTGGAAATAAGCAAGTAGGCACATGATCAAAGCAAGTGTTAAGTGGAATCTGTATACGTCAATATATCTCATTATCTTTTACCAGGCTCTCTTTTTAGAGCAGTGTATTGTCCAGGAGGTGCTTCTCAAGCATAGCATACATTATGATCACTTGAGAGCTTGCTCAAAGATCTGTGAATCCCACCCCAAGAGCTTCTGATTCAGCAATTTGGGGATGAAGCTCAAGACTGTCCTTTTCGATCTTACACTGATGCAGCTGGTCCTAGGACCATTCCTGGAATAGCAAGGTCCTGAACACGACACAGGGACCTGTAATGACATTCTGCCTCCCTCTCCACAGCCACCACAGCATCATGACTGTATACACCTCAGCACTGCAATAAAGTTGAATTTAGGTTTCTGGTTTATTTCTTAAACTCTATGGCCATATTAAGAATTATAACAGTTACTCTGTGTCACAAATAATTACCTCTCCAGTTTGTCTGTCATGATCCATACAAGGCTGTCCATCTTTTGGGGAATAAATGGTATACCTAAAAAACAAATAATGACAAATATTATTAAATATCCAAGTTTTATCCTAACATACTTGTCAGTGTTGCTCCTAACATCTTACAATATTTCTTCTTAATAAAACTTCAAACTCAACAAATGTCTACATCTACTATTTATGCTTTTATGGGTGGTTCTATCACTAACCTGGTTACTTAATGAAAGCTTTTTGCTTTCATCAAAGGTAGTGCCACCTAACAATACGCCCTGATCTTGGCTTTGTGGTGTGAAACAAAAGACTGTAAAGTATAAATTCACTGATGAAACACAAATAGCCTTTAATATAATCAAGGAAGAATCTTAATTTATAGAACAAAAGGATAAACTAAAACACAAATAAAATCATCATTTTTCTGCTTGGCTGGGAATACTGAATATTTTGTGAGAATATGAAAACTAACA